GTTCTTTAAACTGTTGTTTTCGCTTGCAAATCACTGTTCACAGGCCTGCACTGCTTTTGACCGTCTTTTTGCCAAAAGTGTAAGCGCGGAAAAAGGTAAAAGGTACCTTCTTCTCAGGTAAAAGTTATTAGAACCGTGTTATTTCATGATGCTACTTTTTAAGATAACTTACAGATATGTAAATTGTTAGCATATCACTAAATAATCATTTGTGAAAGTATAGTCATTTTTTGTAAATGATTAGTTCATCATTATCTAATCACTTGTAAATGATTTGTAACTTAATCTACAAAACATAGATAGAAAATATTAACATATTACTTATTGATCATTTATGAATGCATATTTATGTTTTGTAAATGATTAGTTCATCTTTAAGCAATTACTCATAAATGACTTGTAAATGAATTAACAAAACATGCACAAATTGTTAGAATATCACTTATTAATCTCTCATGAAATGTTTTGTAAACTATTAGTTCATCATTAACGAATCACTTATGAATAATTTACAACTGAACATTATTGTAAAGTGTTACTGGCCTACAAATTAGGAAACCGGTGCAGTTAGTCGCCGGCGTTAGTCACAAAATGTATATATATATATATGTATGCTAATCATTGTGAGGACGACTGGCAACAGCTGGTTGCAGCTTGCATTCTCTAGACACCGCACACCATACGACTTTGAAGACCGACTGATAACACTGACTGAGCTCAAATTACATTCATAATCGGCCTGACAGTAGTGTTTCCCGGCTTCACAGAATGAACCGGTTTGCGCGTGGAATGTCTTACCATTACTTGTGGGCTGATGGATGGGCTCTTTCCCTCATCAGTGCAAGTTTTTAAAAGTATTTTTTTACAGAATTATGCAGTGCTGCTGTTTTTATAACATTTTCTAACACACAGCTGCAAATTACAGGACAACTGAACGGGTGAACACAAACAAATTTACATGCGCGACATGCCCGAAACAGCCTGGATAACAACTGGCTAACACTACTGTCAATCAGGCTCATCAAGAATTATGCAAAAACACATTTGATTTATTTTAGTTATTTGAGATGTTATAATAGTTCTCTAATTGTGTTAAAATAGATATAGAAACAATATTAGAAACAATAATTAACAATAATGTATAATAAACTGGGGGGCATTCCATCAGAGTGCCTGCCTACTTCCCTGCTCACAATCATAGACATAATAAATGAATAAATGATCAAATAATAAAATGAGATAAATGGTAAATGATAAAAAAAATCTAACAATAAATTACATAAATTGCTAATGGTTATAAATTATTATAAATTAATAAAAACAAGAAAATAAAAACATAACACAAAAATATGGTTGCTCTCGATGCAACACAGTTTGTATTTGAGGATCCTTGTTGATCAAACATATTTATTAGTTCTCCCTATAGAAACATGAGATTTGTGCCTATTACATTTTTTAAATGGTAATTTGAAGATCAGTGTACCTCATTCATGGAAAGTATCAGGGACGTATAAGTTATAAAAATGCATCAATATTTTGTATAATAATTATCCTAAGAATCTACTTTATTCTGTTATATCAGGGTTCATTTTTATGTCCACATTTCTCTACTTTTTTACGAGCTACTGAAAATAAACCATTTTTACTTTTATTTTAGAATTGATTGAAGAAAACAAGGAGAAGGAAGAACTCCGTGAAGTTGAGGAGAAAAATCGTGTAAAAACGGGAGAAAATCCCTTGAGTTGCTCTCAAACCAAACAGAAATATTTAAAGAAAAGAAGAGCCAAGAAATCTTTCACCTGCACTCAGTGTGGAAAGAGTTTCACATGCAAATATAGTCTTAATGTTCACATGAGAGTTCACACTGGAGAGAAACCGTTCACCTGTGATCAGTGCGGGAAGAGTTTCACACAATCATCAAACCTTAAGAGACACATGAACATCCACACTGGAGAGAAACTGTATGCATGTGATCAATGTGACAAAACATTTTTGCGGGCTTCAAACCTGCCAACACACCTGAAAGTTCATGCAAAGGAGAAGCCACATTCATGTCATTTGTGTGGAAAGAGTTTTTCATGTCTACAATATTTGAAAAAACATCAGAAAATACATACTGGTGTGAGAGAGTACATGTGCTTTGAGTGTGAAAAGACTCTGAAAACACATGAGATGATCCACACTGGAGAGAAACCTTATAAGTGTTCACACTGTGACGAGAGATTCAGTGATTCAGGAGACCTGAAACGGCATGAGAGGATCCACACTGGAGAGAAACCGTACAAGTGTGCACACTGTGACAAAAGATTCAGACTGTCAGGACATCTGAAAACACATGAGAGGATCCACACTGGAGAGAAACCGTACAAGTGTTCACACTGTGACAAGAGATTCAGTCAGTCAGGAGATGTGAAAAGACATGAGAGGATTCACACTGGAGAGAAAGCATACCCATGTGATCAATGCGGCAAAACATTTATGTGGGCTTTCAACCTGACAACACACCTAAAAGTTCATACAAAGGAAAAGCCACATTCATGTTATTTGTGTGGAAATAGTTTTGCATGTCTACAAAGTTTGAAAAAACATCAGAAAATACATACTGGTGTGAGAGAGTACATGTGCTTTGAGTGTGAAAAGACTTTTACTACAGCAAAGTGTTTAAAACTGCATGAAAGGATCCACACTGGAGAAAAACCTTACAAGTGTTCACACTGTGACAAGAGATTTAGTCAGTCAGGAA